ACAAAAATAGATTCCTAGGAGAGTGTGATACAAGCCCGTCCAATTTCCAAATCCGCCCAGTGATCTCGTAGATTGATCAAGTTCCACGCCACAAACGACGGCGAAGAGACCAAGCGTCACGCGTCACGCCGCACCATTTACAGGTTGCATGTCGGATAAAGAAATGTACACGAGGCCCTCAGAGCCGTTCACGTACTGCTCAGCATGCCAGAGGTGGAGGTGCATGCGCGTGGCGAGGATTGCAAGGATGAGGATCTGAAAACTGTATATGCGTATTTGCCAGTAGAGACGCTGTCAGTAGGAATTTGCAATAGAATTGTGATGTACATACGCTTCAATGGCGGAGTATACGGCGAACATCTGAGAAATATCAATGTCTACATCTTATCGAAAGGTATTGCTTACGCACATCCCCGAGTAGTAGTGGCAGAAGAAAGTTCATGGCCGAGAAAACTGTTGAAACAGCGATGAGCGCGGAAATATGTGCAGGGTCTGACTCACGTAGACCACATGCATAGTAGAATATGTTATGCTTCACCAGTATGGCGAACAGAGGGCCCTTAACCAACCGCCATCGCTGTATAGCGCGTGTGATCGTGAGGCAGATCAGTCCTGAGAGTGTCAGTCAGTGTATGAGTCTGCAATGGATGCTCCAAGTTCCCGACTACATACCCACTTGAAACACAAACACAAGAACAAAAGGCAAGAATAATTGGAAACCTTGTGGGCTCTGGGAGCAACCTTGGACGCCTGGGACCGGGCCAATCGTGGCTGCGAAGGTGGGGTGAATACAGCGAATAGCGTAATGGTGGGGGAAATGAGAGCACAAACCATCAGGGAAAGGACCAGCGGGAGCCAAAATGCCGATGCATGATATGATGACTGCCTGACTGGTTCGTCAGACATGAGCTAGGGTGTGGAGTGCGTATGTGACTCACAAAATAGCCGGAGAGCACGGCTACGAGTACGATTCTCTTGTTGTTCCAGAGTGCATACGTCCTGAGAACAAAAAAGACTGGGTGAATCTGATCAGGAAGATACCTATATCGCGGGGTAAGGAGAGATACATTCAGAGAGAGCGAGTGATATCACTCCGAAATCTGTGAGAGGAAAGAGCAACGCCCGGTAAGGCTGTGCATGCAGCGTGGACTGTGCGCGTACATGCGAAAATATTGCTCAATATCTGGCAGTTCTAGCAAAGTCATACGGTAAGCGTCATCATCAGCGGAGGTCCGCTGCACATACCTTTGGCTCGTTTTTGGCCAAGGATACTGAAGCAAAGCATGTCAATTCATTATTGGGGGGGTGTGCAATGTTGGGAATGAACGTACACCATAGTTCCAAGAAAATAACGACAAATGGAATGTATCGTGTAATGATATAAAGGCCTTTTACCTTTGTCCAGCGTGATCGAAGTAGGAATGTCCACTTCCGAGTCGAACACCATATTATCAACATCCAAAGCGAGGCGTATCACAGAACAAGTGCATCACCTCTTCGTGAAGTGAACAAACAAAATCATAGGTCTACATAAGTTAGTTTAACGGTGGGCTGGAATAGATCAAGACGAGCCTACCCAGAATGTCGCCGTCGATACTGAACCGTCAGGTTAGAACGAGGAAGTAGTAGTTCAGATAGCACGTACTGTAAATGTACTGGTGACCACATGTTCGTTATCATCCTGCCTGCACATTAAGAAAGAACGCACCGCTAAGAATTGCAAATCCCTGGCCGCTCCGATGTCAGCAGCTGAATATTCCATCTGCATGCGCTCGAGAAGTAAAAAGCTCAAGTTTCACGCAAGCGCCTTTATATCTCTCTCATGAATAAGCTGGGAATCCATTAAGGGGAGGCTGTGAATACTGTTACTATTTGGCTGAACTTCTTGATCATAATGAATCCTCCGATCAGGTGATGTAATCACAGGATGCACTGGGCGGGGCGCTCAGCAGACATGTACACAGCTGATGACGGCACGAGACGATAAACCTAACCCTAAAACATGTAACTAGCCTTGTATGGTGTCTATGACTCTGGATACCTGTGCGAGATTCCTGGCACGTGCTCCAGTCACTCTACATGCCAAACTCAACCATTATAGCGGGATTGGGTAGATCTGTGGGCACATTGGCTTAGGCCCAGATGACTAGACGTGAGTTAGTTGCGAAATCGTTCACTAAGCAATATGTAAAACAAGGTTACCTGCTGCGCACAGGCATGATCGACTTACTCGCAAGTTGATACAAAAATTCCCAAGTCGTTGTGATAGTCCTTGGTTCTTGAAGGTTGCTTCTGAAAGGCTTGGTAAACCCCGGCTGTTTTAGATGTGAACTTAGCCGAAGAATTCGCGCGCGATAATGATATGTAAAACAGATTGATCTGGATTGATACAGAAATTAGTAATGGGTGGATGGGACTAAGAATACTGGCTGACGGCAAATCCAATCGTCATCATAATTCTGAGACGTGTTTGGTGCGGCTGGAAGGCATACCAACTCGCCAATATACTTGGTGGCCGTGACGTTTCCTGGAATTAAATGAAATCAAGGGATGCAGAGGATAAGAATTGCAGCCTGTGCAAGTAATTGCAAGGTGATAACGATAACGAATCCAGGATCCTCCCGAGAGAACCTGAAAGTTCGAAAGTTCTGCCCGTCCGCACCATCCGATAAAATAAGATCATGCTGAATGTGCTGCTGGTCGTCTCGCAAATATCCCTGACTTAACGCAAGAGATCATGTCCACATTTGCCTCATTGGCAATCGGCCTGAAGGACATATCATTCGCGAGGTTTTGTGCCGCCCAAATTTAGGCCAAATCCTGAAAAATAAATTCTGGATAGCCAAATTAGGGTTGGACTGAACGGCCGGACGGGACGGACGATTGGTTATTTCCAAATTTTTGGTATACACCGGGTACCTGTGGGTGAAACATGGTGGATTGCATGGCGGTGCTGTCCAATACAGCAAAGTAAACTTCTCGAGATCAAGGTGGGGTATCTCCCTACATCACCGAGTGATTCGCCAGTTGATCAAATCAACGACGTATCATAGATGATGATGGTCAACCCACTCGCGATGATGTATGTACGTACTAACAGGATAACAAGTCCATGCAGTGACATGGAAACCGTGTTAGTACGTAGTGATATCGAGGCTGTAGCCTGGGACTGGAGCGCTACTGGTTAATACTAGTTCTGCAGGTTTCGGACGATGTGAGTGATGCAGAAGCCAACTACGCCGTAGATTGGATACTATCTGGACGTTAGCAAGACACGGTATGCCTATTCTCGTACTTTATCGCAGGAGAAAGGGTGGAGGGTTGATACGATTGAGGAAACGATGTGACTGTACGTGATAGCGGTGCGGGGTGAACGTTTGAAAAGCGGATGAAACGTGATGGCGTGGGGTTATTAATTTATTTCTGAACATGCTCGGGGTTGATGATTACTCGAATGGGACTGGGGGCCGCTGGTGTCGGGTTTAGAACTGAGAATCGTGGTGGTGGAATCGAGCGAAGTCACTGACGGGGACGTCGGGAGACGGCGTCATAAAAAACGAAGTGAAAATTCCGGCTGCAATGGGCAAGCCAGGTCAAGGCTGGTGTCAAACAAGTTGATAGCTGGGCCTTTGATGTTCAGAAGGCCAGCTCCACGTGCGTACTCGGAGGAAAGCTGAGCCGTCATTAATGCAAGTCCGCACTGTTGGCCACATTGAATAGGTACCACGGTAAAACAATTGGTCGAATGTCGGGCAAGTTGGTTGACCGTGAGTGCCTGTTCTATGTCGGAGATTGAAGCAAGGGCGTGTCGTCGTCAAAACCTTATTCAATCCGACGGTGGGTCCCACGTGTTGGCTGCGCAGTTCTTAAGAACCCACGTTTTTCCGTTTAGTACTTTTTAGTTAGCTGTAACGTTGTCTTTCCTAATCCCGGCTCATTTCCTTCTTGCCATCATGTCGTCGTCTGCACCACAAGCGACGTTATCAACATCCCCAACGACAGTAGCACCCACAACTGCTGTAACATCACCCGGTACTAGTACTTCTACTCCTCCCACTACAACACCAAGTATTTCTTCTTCCCCTTCGTCTCCTCACAAATAATCAATCAGTACTGATTAATCATTAGCTACCAGCACTACTCCATCAACGACAACAACGCCCACATCGACGACCCCATCAACTTCAGCAACAACACCAGCTACAACTCCCACATCTTCCACATCTTCCACGACAACTGGCAGCAATGCACAAGCTTCAACTACCCCTGCATTCGCAAGTACCACTCCAACAACAACCTCCATGACATCTGTTGCGACTACAGTACCCGTCATTATTACGTTCGTCCTCTCATATCTCATTTCTTTCACAGTCCTTTACCCAATATACTAGCTCAACAAATTCACTCGGATCAACAATCGTCATCACAACAGAGATATCCACAACAACCTCAATCCCTGTCTCAACTTCCTCCTCGTCCACAAACAACTCATCAAACACCGGCCCAATCGTAGGTGGCGTAGTCGGTGGTATCGCCGTCATCGCCATCTTCGCCCTTATCATCTTCTGCTTACGCCGTCGCAGAAGGCGAGACGAGTTCGACGGCAACTTTGACCCCGATCATGTCATTTCTCACCCTTCAGGGGGCGGGACTCTCCCCCAAATCGACCTTGGCGAAGAAAATGAGATCACCCCTTACCCTGACCATGGTGCCAGCATGCGCCAATACGGAGAAAGCCCCTACCTAACTACCGGTGCTGCTGCCGGCGCAGCGGCAGCTGCGAGTATAAACCGCACAACTTCCCCACTCAGCTCTCCCTCCCAATACAGCGACACCGCCACCACTGCTGCCGAGGGGTACCCTTCTCAGGGCTTCATCCGCCCAGGCCCGGGCCAGTACCCCCAAGGCGGACCAAACATGTACACAATGCAGCAAGCAGACTGGCACAACCCACTCCCCCTCACATCACCCGCACCAAGCGTCAGCAACGCCTCCTCCAGCAGCCGTGCAATGAAGGAGAGAGAAGCTGCTGCTGGCCGTCAAGGCCTCGGCCTCGCTACTCAGCAAGAAGTCGACGGTGAGGGTTCTGGCGTTGTCCAGCACCAGGATGCAGGACAGGTGCATAGTGAAGAAGAAGGTGAACCGAGAGATATCCCCCCTGCGTATGACTCTATAAGGCAGTAGACTCATCCAGTGATTCCAAAAGGCGATATTTGAAGTGGAATATGTGATATTACCCTTGCCATGTTTCGATGGACACCACCTTTGGACGCTTATACGTATGTACAGTGCATTGTCATCGTCATCATGATCTTAGGCCCTGATCCCTTGTTTATCTTCGACATTAGTTGTCGTCGTACTATGTTTGGTGACTCTGGAGTCTGACTACTTGTTACTTACCAGCACATTTCATGTATGCATCGTCATCATGTTTTTGTTCATTCTTACGATACATCACTGCAAATTGCGTTTATAATCACCTCGCCGTTACGTTCACCCTATTGCGAGTAGCAAACATGTATAAACACATTCAGAACGTTCGAGTTTAGGTTGGACAACTTGCTTGGCTGCCACAAAAACCCATCATTCCTATCAACAAGGTCGCATGCAACACCCACTGCCCCGTTAACGGAGGTGATCAATGTTTGCTATCTACTATGAGATTTCAATACATTCATCAGTCCACTGTATACCCGTCGAACATCCATCTCCGCCATATCATCTACCTCGCCGCCTCCACGCCCAACTTCCGATTCCTTCGCCGCAGCACACAACGACGGAAATAGCTTCAAATGAGACGGGTCTTCGAGTTCGCGTGCAAGAGTTGGACGGATCATATGCATGCATCACCGGTAATAGTTCTGGGGTGCGTTCCTACCCACGGATAGATAAACGGATCTAGATCGAACTTCCAAATTCAATTGCAAAATTAATGCCGTTGTCATTGGCTTAATATGAATCGCAGACAAAAATACCGATGCGAAATGATGACATTAGTGGAGTGTTTTGCATCTGGGTGTCGATGGTATGCTTTGGGACTTTTTTGCATCTTTGAGATGTTGTGTCTCGTTGAGCGATATAGGATTACCTGAAAGGTGAGTTATTCATTTGGACTTTGCGTCGTTTTATTTGTTTGTTACATTCTGATGGTGTTGCCAGAACTTAGAAGAACGCGATTACCCGAGTCTGCCGATGTTCTGACCCTCAGGCTTATCGATAACCTCACCATCGATTGAACCTGTACAATTTGAAAAATATATATCGAGTTTTGCGCGTGTCCTGTTTACACATCGATTTTTACGGTGTCCAAGCGTTTCGCGCGTAGACTGTTTGACAGCATCACGACTCACATCTGTGTTGATTTGATCAAGAGAGTTCTCGTTTGTACTTGACTTCATGCGAAATAGTCACTTTGGTCAAATGCAGGAATGGATACCGCTCCCATGATGCTCATTTTGACGATGATGGAGGTTTACCTGATATGAACACCATCGTCTTATATCTACCAAAGTATCATCTACGATATGTCGTTGATTTGATTGCGAATCGCTGAGCGATGTACCCCACCTTGATCTCGAGAATATCCTTTGTTGTATTGGACAGCGCAATCCATGGCGTCTTCATCCACAAAGTACCCGAGGTCCGGGAAGGAGATCAAGTAATTTCATAGCCTTCTTCATAGCCTTCGAATTCCGACAGGATCCCGGATTCGTTATCTGTCTTCACGTAATCGATTGGTCTTCCAATTGATGGTGTGTATCCTCATGGAACGTTGGAACGTTACTGCCGTGTCTTGCACAGGCTGCAGCTCTTACCCTTCGGATCCCTTGGTTTGATCTGATTTCAGGGAACGTGACAGCCGCCACGTATATTGGAGACTTGGTATGCCTTCTACCCGCGTCAAGGCGCCCCGGAATTATGACGGTTAGATCTGCCGCCAGTATTCTCAGTCCCATTCACCCATTACTGATTCGTGTATCGAATCAGATAAATCTGCTTCACATATCATTATCGCGCTCGAATTCTTTGATTAAGCGTACATCTAAAATGGCCAGGATTCATCAAGCAACCTTCATATGTCGATCATGCCTATATACAGCAGGTAACGTTGTTTTGCATATTACCTCGTGGAGGATTTCTCAACCAACTCACGTTTAGTCATCTGGTACTAAGGTGGTGTGCCCATTACTGTACCCAACCCCGTGTACTTGAATACAAAACGGCGGTCGATCTATTCCTGCTGGAGCGGTGTATCCCGCGACTGCGTGCCTGCGTATTGCGAGAAAGACTGTCAAGGCAAGAAGTGGTGAAGAGCACCACGCTACGAGAAAGCCCGACAGACCCTCCGTGGATGATTGACCTACGGTGCTGCGTGGCCGCTCCTACCGGTATCCCCTACTACACTGCATTGCAACTAAAAATACACAATGCTCATAAAACAAGCGTGCTGGGGAAAGTCTGTCCTTCTCTAGTGCGTCGTGTCTCTGGATGGAGTACTTATGACTGACCGTCCTCTCAGCGAAATCACCCTACGTTTCCGACATCAGCTGTAAGATTTATCAAGTTGCGCCCCGCCTAGTGCATCCTGTGACTAATTGAAAGATTCGGCGTCATAATCATCAAGCTCAACCGAATAGTAACCATATTCACAGCCTCCCCTTGATAGGTTCCCAGTTCATTCATAAGAGAGATAAAAAACCGTGTGCGCGAAACTTGGGGTGTTTCCTTTCCGAGCGAATGCAGATGGCATATTCGGTCGACGACATCGCAGTGGCCAGGAATTTGCAATTCTTAGCAGTGCGTTCTTTCTTAATGTGAGGGCAGGATAATAACGAACATGTGGCCACCAGTACACTTGCAGTACGTGCTGCCTGAGCTGCTTCTTCCTCGTTCTAACCTGACGGTTCAGTGTCGACGGCGACATTCTGGGTAGGCCTGGGCTGATCTACTCCCGTCCACCGTTAAACTTGCTTATGTAGACCTATGATTTTGTTTGTTCACTTCATGAAGAGGTAGTGCACTTGTTCCGTGATACGCCTCGCTGTGGATGTTGATGGTGTTCGAAGTTGACATTCCTACTTCGATCGCGCAGGACAAAAGTGAAAGGCCTTTACATCATTGCACGATATGTTCCATTTGTCCTTATCATATTGGACCTATGTTGTACGTTCATTCCCGACACTGCATATCCCTCCGATAATGAATTGACATGCTTTGCTTCAGTGACCTTGACCCAAAACGAGAACCCCAAGGTATGTGCAGCGAGTTTCCACCGGCGACGCTTATTGTATGGCTTGCTAGAAATGCAAGATATTGGACAATATTTTCTCAAGTACGCGTACAGTCCATGCTACATGCACATCCTTACGAGCGTCGCTCTTTCCTCTGACAGTTTTCGGAATGATGTCACTCACTTTCTCTGAATGTATCTCTCCTTACCCCGCGACATAGATGTTCTCCTGATCAGATTTACCCAGGCTTTTTTATTCTCAGAACATATGCACTCTGGAACAACAATAGAATCGTGCTCGTAGCCATGCTGTCCGCCCTTTTTGTGAGTCACATGCGCACTCCACACCATAGCTCATGTTTGACGAGCCAATTAGGCAACCATTGTATCATCCATCAGCCTTTTGCTTGCCGGTGGTATTACCTCCGAAGGTTTGTCCTCTCACTTTCCCCTCATACTGTTCGCTATATTCATGTCACTTTCGTAGTCACGGCTAGCGCGATCTCAGGCATCCCAGGCTGCTCCCGGACCCCGCACGGTATCCGATTCTTGCCTTTTATGCTCACTTTTGTATGCCAACTGGGTATGTAGTCGGAAATCAGAGTGCATACATTGCAGACTCACCCTGACTGGCGCTCTCTTCAGGACTGGTCTGCCTCACGATCATATCCGTTATACAGAGCTGGCGGTCGGCCAAAGGCCCTCTGTACGCCATGCCGGTGAAGCATAATATATTCTACTATGCATGTGGTCTACGTGAGTCAGGCCTTACATATGTCTTCGTGCTCATCAGTGATGACTACCGTTTCAAAAGTCTTCTCGGCCGTGAATATTCTTTTTTCAGCGCCGCTTTTAGATGTGCGTGAACAATACGAGTCTTTGACACGACGTAATCATTTATGTTTCGCAGATGTATCCTGTATACTCTTCACTCGGAGGGTATGCACGTCACATTTCTATTGCGAATTCCTACTGACAGCGTCTCCAAATGCGCATATACAGTATGCAGATCTTTATTCTTGCGATCCTCGCCACGCGCATGCACCTCCACCTCTGGCATGTTGAGCGGCACGTGGATGGCTCTGAGGCCCTCGTGTGCATTTCTATTGAGATATGAATTCATGAGCAGGCCAATCACGTGAATGACGACGACGAGAAGCACCAGGATCTTTGCAATCGCATATGCATGCAGATGACACAGGCAGTTGTGAGGTAAATTCATCTTCCACAAGGGTATCAAACAGGCAATGTACAGTGCTATTGAATATACACAAGTGTTGCAAATGATGTCGAACAGCGAGGATTTCGCCAAAGGAGGAAAAGTAGAGAATGAGATAGAGTTAAATACGTGTCAATGAGATTCATATTGGTGTTGCCATGCACAATATTCGACGAAGGCTTCTGACGAGTGTTGCACAGCTAACACCAAGATGATACGGTCTTTATCGCGTCCAATGTTTTCAAACCAAATGTGACATTCCATCGTCACGGTCAACTGCCTGACTATCAATTAAACTCCTCATTGATAGCTCTTCTTCGTCAGATGTGGTGCTCGCAAAACAAACATCTATCATGCCCGCGCGACGTAAGTTAGCTTCCGTCGGATGTTCCACATTTTGCAAAGCTTCGTGGACAGGTGCTGAATGATAACCCAACCATAAGAGTTGCAGTGCGCCTGCATTTGGGATGGGAGCCTGACTGTTGCGGGATGCATGAAACGCTCTTGTTGTGTGTAGAGCCAATCCCAACATGATCACCGACGCAGAGGTCGCAAACAGCAACTAGAATCAAATTCAACAAACTATCATTGCGTAGATAGCGTTGCGAACTTACAGGAAGAAGGGTGATCTATAACATGTATGCATCAGTCAAATGGAAAGAGGTTCTGTGCAGTTAATACTGACATTCAGGCGTAGGGCGATCACCTCCTCATAGGCAAGGGCCGTCCCATTGCCAGGTTGAATTCCTCCATCCATTCGCCCTGCTGAGTTGGTGACACAGCGTGAGTAATAACAGAGCCATGCATACTAGTACGATCCCTCACCCATCCAAGTGACTTGTGCAACTGTTTGCGCAATAGCGGCTTCTAGTTTATCCCGGCTCAAGGTGAAATTAGAAACGGGAGGTTGGTCCCAGTCGGTGGACGATTGGAGATATTGAGCTGAGAGATCCAATCCTACCAATGACATTATAGACCTAGAATAAAAGACCATGGGTAAGGCATCGTGGCAGTATAATAGTAAAAGTAAGGTCTGAACTCATCCACAATCGAGGGCTCGCTGGTATAGTCAGATTGATCTATAAATTGATACCCGCTACCGCCTGCAATGGAAAGAATGTAACCAACCTGGTGTAGACAACGGATCATTGAACTTCGGTAACCACCAGAAACAGGTGGTGTTTAACGCACATTTTCTGACCAGTCGGTAGATGTCCACTGAAGCGTTTCCTCCCATTGCGTGGATGGCTGCGGGACAGGCATGGGATTCTCTAGAGTGTTGGTTTGCGTGTCGATAACTACTGTGGCGTTGTTGGTTGACAGTGAGCATTGCATAAAATAGACTTCAATAGTCTGGTTCACAGCTGCAAAAAGATTCGTTATGGTGGTTATATTCCAAAAGGCAAACGCACCTGGACATACCCAAATCGCCGGTACCGCAACCTCCTTTTGGACTGAAGGCTCGATCTCCAACAAGGTAGAGACCATTAACAAGACGGCAGGCGGTGCGAAACTCTGAGACTAATGTAGGACAGCCGCTGATTAGTTTCAGGCTAAGCACTAAAAACCTTGGCACAAACCATATTGACCGACGGACCGCCGCCATATTGAAGTACTCGTATCTGGTCTGTCCCTGTAGGTGTTTTAAATATGATGGAATAACATTTCACACTATGTTCACGTACAGGGGGAAGATCCAATCATTTCCATAACATTTCCATTACCAAGCGGAGCAATTGCTGTGTTATTTCGAGAGTATGTGACATTTGGAAGTAATCCGCAACTCGAGGTTACCGTCGTTGCATTCACCGTTGCACGTCCAACTACAGAGCTCGTTTGCAGGGTGTCATAGACTGTATTATTGGATATCCCTGCAGAGAGAAATCCAGGAAATCGACTGATAGCCGGTAGAGATGCAGTCATAGCTACCGGATTCTCCGAGACCCTACTTGATATATCTACCCATCCTAGTGTTGTTGAAATATTGGTTGTCATAGAAGAATTGAATGTTTGAAATTGTAGGAGAGTGGAAGAGGTGACATGCAGCACAGAGATGCATACAAGGTAGGTTGTCACAGCAGTGGTCGCCCACAACGATGCAGGGACACGTGTTTGTTTCCAGACATTGATGAGTGCGGAACCAAGGCCTGCCCATGCGTTGGAGATGTCGTGTATGGTAGTTAATTTCAGACGGCGCACAAGTGCCCTCGATATCGCAAGCCGTTGGGTAAGGAAGACCAGGACAGCTGTGTAGAGCTGGACGAAGCCCATCATTAATGGTGTATCAGTAAGAGAACAGCGAACACACCGTGTAAAATGCTTGTAGTGAAGCACTTAATACCACGGGCCAAAAATTAGTGTTCGTGAGCGTGAATCGGAGAGTCACATGGTGTTCCCAGCGATATATATAAGACACGACAAGCGCAATATGTATCATGACCAACATGCCATGTAACACATAACATGTGCGTGCAGAAAATGATCCGCTTTCGTTTTCTGCGGGATTTCTCGAGCGAATCATCCAGGATGCCGGAGCAGAGTAGCAATAGTTAACATACCGAACCTTGTCCCTGGCAGCTGCATTACAGGATGCTCGCCGTTCGGGGGTGAGACTTGATGAAAATGACTAGTTTTCGAAGGGAAGAGATAGCACTAATCTGCGATGAAGGTGAGCGAAGGAAGCTATCATTCGGTTCTCTCTCGGTTCCTTCGAACAACTTCAAACCCTGAGCACACAAAGTCCGACGGACCTCACGTCATTCACATTTGCGCAGATTCAGTAGCCTATAATGACTTGCTCAGCCAGTACGTCTGAATCTAATCGGCGCGTTATCTCTATGATATTCATTTTAACAGCATTCAAATGTCCTTCATGTGTCCTTTCCATTTGGCAATGACATTCCCGGTCTCGATGTTTGTCCTACAACCTCACAGTACTGTCCCGTCCTTGCAACAGTTTGGCCGCTTTGAGATAATAATGTCCACTGTACTCAACTCCCTAGGTCCCAAAGTCGAAGTGAGCCGTCATATGAACATATGATGATGCGCTGCCCGCCGGACAAGTGCGCAACGCCAAGTACGTAATTTGTATGGTCTCGCATCGTCTTGCGGGGGGTTAATTCTGACGCACTTTTCATCTTGGTAGGTGGAGAAGGCATGGTGGACGTTTGGGATCTCAATCAAGGAAATCGTGACTACGTGCAAGAGCAGTTCGCCCCGGTCTCCTTCGAATTAAAGCGGGCTTTTGTTGCCTTGCAAACGCTAAGATTGTTGGTGGGTCTATGATATCAACTGAATCCATGTCAATAGACATGCATAAGCATTACTCACGAGAGCGATAAAAACGCACAGGAAGACTTCGGGACGTTGTATGCAGGACGATTTCGCTGTTTGTCCTTCAAAACTTGCAGATCTCCATGAGTATCCTTGACGCCGCTCTGTAAGAACTCCTCGTTTCACCTATTCACCCAGAATGTAACTCACAGCAAGCCCCACTCAGACGGATCAGGCACAGATTTACTCCACGCAAGAACGAGTGGAGCGGGTAGTTGGTAGCTGAGACAGTGAACGTTTAATTTTGGGTCGAGGGAGTTGCCCAAGTTTCTGTTTGGGCCGTCTGTTAGGTACGTACTCCGTGCCTTATCACTATGTTTTTTTCGCAGTTTCGTAGTATTTTGCAGCACCCCGGGCCACGACTATGCCACGTGCGCCATCCTAGCTCTATTTGGCCCTTGACTTTTCGATCGTTTGATTCATCTCCACTCCATGCATTTTCTTCCAGCCTATCTATATCGGACCCCATTCGGAGGACGGTGTTGCGCGTTTCTCTGCATCACACAGGAAACATGTATTAGTGGTTTAATGACGAGCAACTACATTTTATACAGTCACGTGCTAAGCTATCTTGCTCGAAGTTTAAGTCTATGGCATCGTCCAGAACGGCGATCTGTCACCATATGGTAGTGTCAGATATCTTGATGGAGCCGGTCAGTGACTCGGAAATGAGCTTTTTATCGTCCAGGTTAAGCTCCAAACTGAACAATTTTGTTTGATTGTGGTGACCCATTCGCCTGTCTTTGCCATCCCATATTTTGATTGCATCTCGTTCGCAGGTCGCAATTATTGTTGCTTCGGGTGAGCAGCTTACCATGTCCCATATTTATAAATCCGTTATATAATCCGCTCACCACTCGTTCACCATCTAGACTCCAGCATATTGACTTCACAAATTTAGAGTGCCCTTTCTACCTGACGGCAACTTTCCTCGTCTCACTGTCCCACATTGCTTGAAGCTGTGGCTACACACGCGTAAATCTGGACGTCACAAGTCCCGTCGTGTCATCCATACGCAACTCGATCAAATACTGAAAACTTGAATTTGAATTTGAATTTGAACACGTGACATCAAGTGACTTGGGTATAGTTCACCCCTGTTCTCCTCCTATACAGTCAACCCATCAGATCCCTCCTTCAGTACACATATGTCTTATCCGACATCAGTAACTGCTGTTCCGATAACAACATCGCCAACCACATCAGCATCCCCGACTACTACTTTCGCCTCTTCGACATCTTCCGTGAGCAGCAGCAATGCCCCAACATCAACTACCCCTGTAACGACTGGAACAACTCCAATTGCAACCTCCATGACCTCTGTGGCAACTGCATTACCCACTACGATTACGTTTGTCCTCTTTTATCTCGATTTTTCTACAGTTGTTCACCTGATCTACCAGATCGAAAAATTCATACGGATCAACAGCTGTCATCACCACAGAGATGTCCGCAACTACCTCTGTCCCTGTCCCCACTCCATCCCCCGTAAACAACTCATCAAACACCGGCGCAATCGTAGGTGGCGTTGTCGGTGGTGTCGTCGTCATAATCGCCCTCCTTGGGCTCTTCTTCTGCTTACGCCGGCGCAGAAGGCGAAATGAATTTGACGGGAACTTGGACCCCGATCATCTCGTTTCCCATCCCTCAGGGGGCAGAGCCCAGCCCCAGATCGACCTCGGCGAAGAAAACGAGATCACCCCCTTACCTTACCCTGACCATAACAGAAGCATGCGTCAATATGGAGAAAGTCCGTTCCAACCTGCGGGTGCCGCCGCCAGCGCAGGTATTCACAGCACAACCTCCCCACTCAGCTCTCCCTCGCAATACAGCGACACTGCCACCTCCCCCGGCGAGGGGTACCCCTCTCAGGGCTTCGTACGCCCAGGCCCGAGCATGTACCCAATGCAGCAAGCAGGCTGGCACACCCCGCGCCCACTTACATCACCCGCTCCAAGAGTCAGCAATGCATCTGCATCTTCTTCCGGTCACGGGATGAAAGAGCGAGGAGCCGCTGCTACAGCTGGCCGTCAGGGGCTCGCTCTACCTACACAGCAAGAGGTTGACGGTGAGGGGTCTGGCGCTGTTCAGCACCAGGATGCGGAACAGGCGCCTAGTGAGGAAGGAGAACCGATAGATGTTCCGCCTGCATATGAGTCTATAAGGCAGTAGACTCGTCGCATGCATGCACGCAGGGATCCCGATGAACGTTCTCTTGTAAGAATGCATTGTAACTTTGACTTTTAGACGTAGTTGTCCCCACTGAGAGAGGGGCAGGTGAGCGCAAACAGAAAAAAGAGCTTCGAGATATAGCAAGTCGTGTCATACACAAGTGCCCTATAAGAGGGAGGGAAGTTCACGCTAAGATAACTGATACCGCTTTACAGCTGTGCCATTCGGACGGGAGGCCGCGTACTTTGAAGAATCGCATGATGATTAACTCCGAATCAAAACACCAAGAACACAGATACCAGCACCACTAATTGTACGTCGGCCAAAACCTGGGCTAGAAAGGAACGAAAACGTGCACGGGGAGAATGAATCATACTTACCGAGACATATAACACCAGTGGCAATATTAATGATATTGGTGAGCATTTACTTGCGTAACACTTCAACCAAATCGTAGATCGGGCTTATCCAAGCAGTGAAGACGCCTTCAACATTGATGCATACGTTGACATGACGTTGTGTGAAATCATCGAGATGGACAATCAACTTGGCCTTGGCTTTGTCGATCCTTCCGATGACCAAAATCGCTAGATTTAAACATGTGATGGATTAAGATGTCGAATATCGAGGACAGAAGGGTACTAGTATGAGCTGGATGTTACAGGTGCCAATTCGGCCACTGGTGTTTGCACGACCACACTATGGTCGCTAGCAGATTGATGATAAGTTGGAGAAGGAGCAGGGTAGTGTGATAAGCCATGACAGGCATCGAAAACGGGTGACTCAGCGTGAGGAGCCTTCCAACTGGAGCATAGCACTGGCAGAACGTCGTGTAGGAAGTCAGTTCAGAAAATGATCAGTTCAGCTAGCCTGTGTTGCCCATGTATGAGAGGGCTGAGAGATGCTGTATGCTTTGCGTAGCTTGATGATATTGGGCTCTTTCATCCCAGCGCGTGTGGCTGCTGTGTAGAATGCGGACGTATGACTGACATCGATTCCTTGAGAATAGTACTTTTCCCGATGAATGAGACCAGCCCTACGACCGTGTTGTGTGGATAATCTTGACAATGTACTGTCGTTCATGAACGTTCAGAACGTTCATGTGCACGTGCGCGTCATGATCGATAGAATCGTCGATATAAGGTTTCAAACTCCGTCCGGGTTAGACCTAACCACGGAAATCTACGACGTCGTCTCGTGTTGTTCGATCTTGATATCGCTGATCTGAGGCTTACAAGTAACCAGTTTGGGGATATCAATGAGCTACAACCTGTGAGCCCCTCAAATTTCAAATTCGGAGAGCAACGGATAACTTTCTGGGTGCTAGTGTGTAAAGCATACCCTGCAAAGGGCTGTGTGAACTAAGATAACCTGACAGCGTCGCTGGACCTCCAAACATGTCCAAGTCAGACACGCTGTGCATTTGCCAGAAAGAAGGCATGCTGGAGCAGCAGTGAAATTGTCAGATTGGCTTTATTCTGTTTTAACAGCCCTCATTTCTGACAATGCCTAGTTTCCTGCAAGGTTCTCGTTGTTCTTTGATCAACAAACGCGTCCACCGCAAGCGCAAGACCATTTATTCATAGAATGCGTATAGTCAGGGGTGCCTCCGACACCATCATTTATCTACACAGGTACATCAATGCTACGAACAACTAAAATCAAATTTTGGCGAGGTACCTCTGGTGCTCAATCGTTCGAATTAACACCTGCAGCGAAATATGGATGGATCCCTCGAACATGCTCAACCGTCCTGCATACTACTAGTTTCCTTCTAATTCATTTATCAACCTCCATGTCGGCCACCCGGAATTCGCCAGTGACCAGATCGTTGAGGCCCATCAGTGAAATTAAGACTGGTCCACCTCGCTGACCTACTGACCATTTTGCATTACCACATCTCCAACTTGAGAGATTCCTTTATCAATCCAAATCAGTCTGCTTGATGTGGACGAGAATATGTTAGCTCTTCAGTACTAGTAGGACTCTCAGTGCGCTTTACGTATCATCGTAGCGCGCATATTAAAGTGACCTCATCTCCGAAGAATCGTGCGTCTGAAATGGCTAGGGTTGATCAAAAAGAAGTTGAACCTTGTAGACACGAGACCCCAAAAGCACCAGGAGCCGAGTAGACGACCTTCAAGAATCGTGGATCATATCATAGTCTCCTCCAATCAGACCGTTACTAACAAAATGACATGACTTATGAGCACACGCAAGTTACTCAAGTTACTCAAGTTGAACTGTGTTGTTCAAGCCTAATTGGATATATTAGTAGGTGTGTTTACTCTGAATAGACTCGGAGTACTTATGGTCATCTTCTCAGCAAAACTACTGAACGCTTCTAGTGCCAACTGCAACTTTACCATCAAGTTACGCCCCGCCTGCTGCGGCCTGTGATCATGCCCCGATCAAGATCGTCAAGCTAAGCCGAATGTTGTCCTTAAATTAAGGTTTAGACCCCGTCTTGATTTTTGTTAAAAGAGTTACTTAAGAACTTCGGCGCATGATGAGCGCGTGAAGCTCTCTTTTTACCTCGAACGAATACAGATGGAATACTCGGCTGACGAGATCGCAGCGGCCAGGAGTCTACAGTACTTGGCGGTGCGTCGCTTTCTTAACACGATGGCAAGGCAATAACAGACATACCACGGACCACTAGTACATATGCAGTGCGTACTGTTTGAATTACTTGTTCCGTGTTCTAACGTGACAGCTCAGCGTCAATGGCGACATTCTGGGTAAGCTTATTCCGATCGATCGATCCCGTCCGTTGTTAAACTCACTTATGCAGACCTATGATTATGTTTGTTCACTTCACGAAGAGGTGATACACTTGCGCTGCGATATGCCTCGGCTCAAATATTGACAACATGCTGTTCAAAGTGGAAGTTCCTGCGTCGGTCGCACTGGACGAAGGTGAAAGTCCTTTATATCATTGCGCGATATGTCCCCTTTTTATTCATCATCACGGACATATATCGTATGTTTAATCCCAGCATACATCTACGCATATCGAATTGACACGTTATGTTTCAGTGAATTTCTCCCCGAGCGAGAACCCCAAAGTATGTGAATGTGTAGCGGAATTACCTACCCGTCGATGAATGATACTGATTGCATGACATCTCCAGAAATGCAAGATACTGGTCAATATTTACTCAAGTACGTGTATGGTACATGCTACATGCACGTCCTTGCCGAGCGCTGCTCTTTCCTCTTACAGGTCTCGGAGTGATATCGCTCACTTGTTCTGAATGTATCTCACCTTCCTCTGCAGCATACACGTGCTTCTGATCCGATTCTTCCAGGCTTTTTTGTGCTCAGGACATATGCGCTTTGGAACGGTAATAGGATTGTGCTTGTAGCCATGCTGTCTACCCTTTTTGTGAGTCCCATACCCTCCTCACACCTGATCCTATGGTTGATGAATCAGCCAGGCTATCATTGTATCGTTCATTGGCATTTGTTTTAGCGCTATTGCTACCTCTTATGGTCTATGCTCTTATTTTCCCCACTACTATTCGCACATATTCACTCTACCTCACAGTTACGACTAGCGCGGTCCCAGGCATCACAGGCTGCTACCGGAGTTCAACCAGTGTCCAATTCTTCATGCCGTTTCTTCTCTTGCTTGCCTTTCAACTTGGTATGTCACTGGGAACATGGAGCATACACGATACATTACAGAGACGCAATGGCTGACGCTCTCCCCAGGACTGTTCATACTAACACTTATACGTGCCTTCCAGACCTGGAGAACGTCCAACGGCGGTATGCACACCGTTCTGATGAAGCATAACATATTCTACTATGCATGCGGTCTGTGTGAGTCGGCACTTCCACATATTTCTGTCCTCATCAGTGATGATTATCGTCTCGAAAGTTCTCTCGGCCGTGAATGTCCTTGCGCCAGTAATGTTTTCTGATGTGTGTAAACGCCCCTATACCCGTCGATAGGATCGGGTCACTGATGTTCCGCCCACCCAGCCCGCATATTACTCCCTCCTCGAAGAGTACGCGCCTCCAACTTCTGTTTCAAATTTCTACCGATGACACCCCTACAGTTTGCAAGCCTTTGTCCTTGCGATCCTCGCCACGCGCATGCACCTCCATCTCTGGCATATCGACCGGGACGTGCACGGCTCCGAGATCCTCGCGTGTATTTCTATGTCCGACATGTCATCTGGGGACCGTACGATCACTACGTTGTGACGTCTAGTCGTATGCCTCATTCATTGTCGTTCATGGAGCAAAATTTAGACTATGAAATGACTGGTCAGGAGTGGCTTGGCGTGATGAGAACCTTTCCGTTTTGAATTTTGATATCGCAGAGCCGACGCTACACCAACTGTCTGTAGATGTTCATGATCAATGAGGGAAACTCCCGTCCGTTGCAATATGTTCTAGGATTCCTCCCCACCACACTCACCCCATCCACGGACTTACTCTTTGTAGATCTCTTTTCCTGCAGTGAGCCCCAGGGTTCACACACTAAGATGCAAACGGGCTCTGCCGACTCGTATACTTCTCCAGCGTGCGGCGTGGGATGACATTTCGTAGGTCATTGATCCATGCACTACTATCGGTTACTATCATTCCGTTACGGTCCACCATTCCATGAATTTTGTCTACAGCACTCAATGTTAAAGCAATTGCTTAGCTACTTCACTAAGTATATTCTACATACTATTGTAGCATGTTCCAAGTGAAAAAAATCAAATCCATTAAGAAATGATGGAGATTGTGTTTTCAGCGTGACAGCAGCAAAAATCACGGATCGGTGTCACCTGCTGAAGCTGCTGATGTTGGATATTGAAATTAACAGCGTGTTTCAATGCAGCTGCAATCCGTCACCCATGAGCACTGCACTGAGCTAGGCTCAATCGCTATGCCATGGGTTGCTGCCAAGGCAAGCTGGTGGTGTCTACTGTCCCTGAGTATGAGTTCAGGATCCAGGCTGCACTCGAGGGTGTTACAAATGGCACCTACAAGAATTAAACAGTAGCTGCAAGGGTAAACAAAGTATGATTATTTCTCTTTTGAGTTCCTGTGGTGCTAATTTCATTGTACAGGTCGCATGGCAGACTCTTAAAGACTGGAGCAAGGGTCATATGTCTCACAAGGATTTTTCCTGGTCATGGCAGCTCCTCCAGCACAGGATGCAGGCAGAAAGATATATCCACACGGCTTATAATCCTAAAAGTCCGATACATCATTAGGTCTAGTTATCCACTCTGGAATATATCCGTTCTGTATAGTTATCAATCAGCCAGCCTACCTTTGAAATGGCATATACGGCTCTTGGAAGGGTGGCCATTCCCCAGTGAACATATTATTTTAATATTTGCGATCTTGTGATCTTGTTTTGTGATCAGTGATCTCACAAAGGTACTGCATCACTATGTAGTTGTTTGATCATGAATCACATCAATTAACCTTTCACGATCATGGTACAAAAACACTATTATTCATCAGGACCCTCAATATACTCACAAGGAGGTGCATCCAAAGACACCCCATCAACATCGTCAGTACTTGGATCAAAATCAAAGTTTGAGGCCACAAGCTGCGGGACTCTCTTCCAATGTTCCGCAAAAGCTGCCACTAAACCTCATTGAATGTGAGCCTGATGGCGAGCATATGCAATCATACCCTCCTTTTCCTCGGGCTGCTCAATAGTTGGTAGGGTTGCGCATGATTCCCAGGAGTCTTCCTGCCATTTGAGAAAGGCTAGAGTACGTCGCATTTCTTCTAATAAGAGCTGGACTTCCTCCAACCACCTATTATGATGCGCTCGGGCTTTACACTGTTCAATGCGAAGCGCTAATGTAATTCAGCATACAGCAACAAAAGAGTGAGATTGAACAGCTTACAGTCTTGGAGTCCCTCGCTGTCGTCAGAAGAAATTCTGTGAGTTAGCCAAATCCATGACATAATTGCTGTGCCTTGAGTCTGTTGTCCGAAGTCCCCAATTGGTCTGAGGTGCATCTTTTTTAAAGGCTGCAATTTGTGCTCCCATCCTATCCGATCAAGGTGGCGAGCTAAGGAGAGAAGCGCCTTGTGAGCCCTTGCATACTTAGCATGGCTCAACATAAGATGTTCCTCAACTGCATCCATGGTTTTGCATGCGCGGGTGTTGGGCCCTTGTCCACATAGATGCTGAACCTTGAATTGATACAGCTGATGGCACAGTCGAATATGCGAACGACACTCATTCAGAGCATCAGTAGCTTGGGCAAAATGCAGAGACCATTCTGTTTCCAGGAGTGTCTTGTTGCATGGCATGACATCACAGATCTCAGAAGGCAGAAGTAATTGAAAGTCTTCTGCCTTTCCAGAGGTGGGGCCTGGGACTGGACAGCCACTGTCATTACTGTTGCAGCCAGTTGGGAGGTTTGCAGATATTTGGAGGTTTGGTACCACTGGCATGTAAAGTTTTTGAATGTTGGTCCACATGTCTAGGCAGCGTTGCAGTGCGTTCCTTCAAGTTAAGACCTTGGTCCTCTGGATATCAGTTGCATGCTGACTGAGTGCAGAGGAATCGACATGCAAATGGTGTCTAAGATAATTTAGCAGCACTCTACAAAAGATTTGAAAAATGTCTTACTGGGCATCTTCAACGTCAATGCCAGTGCTAATGAGAACACTGCAGGTGACTTCAGTGTGGAGTGATATTGCTGACCTGTCTTCCAACTCCTTTGTGTCCTGCTGTGCTAACTCTAACTGCACAGCCACCTGGGTCATTGCTGTATATTTGTGAGCAATAGGTCAGCATTATGCAGAACAGCTCACTGCCAACTCGTCTCTGGAATGGATTACATTGTGAGTGATCCATCTCCCAAGCTTCAATCTCCATCCTCCATGCAGCAAGGGAAGCAGCTCCTACTTCTGAGTTGTTGATAGAGCTCTCGAGTTCAGAGAGAGCAAGATGGTGTTCCTTCTCAGCAACAACAGCTTCCGTCATTTTTCGTAGCATAGTTTTACCTAAGAAAGAAAGATGAGACTAGTTAGTACAATAACATCAACATACTACACCCACACTCACTGAGAGCCATAATCTTCTTCCAGTTCCAATCGCTGAAATTGTTGTTAAGTGTGTTGGATCGGGCTCCAGGATCCATTTCCTTCATACTGCTGGCCATGCGATTGATGTTTGCCCATCCACGCTCAGGTGCTTCTCTGTCAGTCTGTCCTACTCCCGGAGTCCAATTGAATGAGAATTGAGTTTGGCATGATTCGATATGTGCAGCAATATGAAACTTTGGCACAAAAAAATTAATGGTCTTACCCTCTCGATTGAACTGAAGATGAGGTGGTAGCATGGGCAAGCAATCTCACAAGTTTTTGTGCCACTGGCACACAATATCATATGAAAAGTTGATTGTCGACAGGGTAGAGAATCTGGCAAGAGCAGAGAAAACGAGATAGTCCATATTGAGATATCTACAATGTGTTACAGTAAACGGTTGACCCCTATCATTTTCTCTCACATTGTATCATGTCATGACCGCACTTCACCGTGCCATCACTAGACTGTCTTCAGTTTACCATATCCATGTATCACAGCGCGACCGCCTCATGCCATCGCTAGCTGATGTCATTCCTCTTATCTCTGACTCGTCTTGATGACGTCATTTCTCTTATCTCTGACTCGTCTTGATGACGTCATTCCTCTTATCTCTGACTCGTCTTGATGACGTGTACGTACCGGCCCTCAAGTAGCTCTCACCTATATAAGCAGGGTCCTGTACTTAGTTAGACTTCACTTTAATCTACTAGGTTTTACCCAGAACATCCTTCGCTTAAGACCCCCAATCTTAAGTGTCTGATATCGATATTCAAGTCGGAGACACTCTCTCTGATTTGTCTTAAAGAGGCCTTACATTTGTGAGGTTACGATTCGGCTCTAGACGTCACTCTTATCGAGTGTCTATTGTCGCGCCTATCCTAGTCGACCTACGGTTCGCCGTAACAAAAGATTAAAGTCTAACACTGACCCTCTCCATCCAAAGAGGTTACCAGACAGAAAGAACTCAGCGAGAGAACGAGAACGTTCCCCTGAATAGAAACATCACTTGACCAGACGTTCAGGATGTCCACCATCGCCAACATCCCAGAATTGAAAGCCGGAGCTCCATCTACCTATGATGGGAGCCCTCAGCAAGCACTACGATGGTTGTATGCATTAAAGGCGTACTTCGCACTTAATGCTACAATCTATAATACTGACGAAAAGAAGGTCATTACCGCTCTCGCATATATGACAGAAGACAGTGCTATGGGTTGGGCCCTCACCTTCTACACTGAAGTCGACAACTCCGCCGCTAAAACTTACGGAACCTTCGCGAATTTTGAAACCAAGTTCAAAGAAGCCTTCGTACCTGCTGATGCCGTCGGTACCGCCATGAACAAACTTAGGACGTTGAAACAAACGGGCGACATCACGTCTTACATCGCCAGCTTCAAAACCCTTGCTGCACAAGCAGGTGTAAAGCAAGACGCCGTCCTAATCACGTTCCTCAATGACGGATTGAAGAAGGGAATCGTCAACTCTGTCTACCAGATGGAGACCATCCCTACAGACTTCGACAAATATATCGCCGCAGTCGTGAGGCTTGACAGCAACTACCAGAGGGGTGTCGCATTCAGATCTAACCATCGAACTACCACCAAACCCTCTGGGCAACGCTATGTACCCAGACCCTCCATCGACCGACACGACCCAAACGCAATGGAAGTAGATCGGCTCACCGAAGCAGAAAGAAGTGACCATATGAAAAAAGGACTTTGTTTCACGTGCCACCAGAAGGGGCACATGACTAAAGCATGCCCGCAGAAGAAGAAGATCCCTGTTCACAGAGAAGAAATAAGCGACAGCGAAGAAGAAGAAGATACAACGATCCGTCGTCTCGCAGAGGATTTTTGATGTGGAAGATGGGATCGACGTCCGTATCTTCTGATGTACCCATAAGACTTGTACAGAGCACAGGAATAAGAAAGGAACTCCGCGTTCCCATTTCTCTCATCTCCAAGACACGTCAAAAAACCGTCGAAACGACAGCAGTTGTTGACTCCGGCGCCGCCGGAACCTTTATCTCAGATGAGTTTGTTAAAACTCATGGTATCCGAACACATAAACTATCAAAACCATTTCGGGTTACAACCGCGGATGGGAGTTATGCCAAAGGAGGCGCTATCACCCGATATTGCGTCCTCATCGTCAAGATTGACAACAGATCGATGATTGGAAAGTTTAACATCACGCGACTAGGCCGACGTGATCAAATTTTGCTCGGGATTCCCTGGCTACGCGCTATGGACCCAGTAATTCGATGGAAAGCCGAAACACTAGAACTCTCTCGAACAGAGAAGAGTGACCAGATCGAAGAAGAAGTCGATCGAGAACGGAAGAAGAATAACCTACCTCTCCTCTTCCGGAAAATTGAAGGACCAAACCCAGTCGTAGTGCTGCCGAAAGCACCTACCAGGAAAGCAATTGAACAACAGCCGTTGCATGCTACTGTAGAAGAAATTAACGAAGAAACAACCCCGCCAGCGCTGCCCAGTCTAGACCCGGTACCAGACGATGACGACGACTCCTTCGATACGAAGGATGATGTATGGACGACTGATTACGCACCACCCGTGCAAGAAATCTCCACCTACCATCTAGAGGATGATGAATTTTTAGTCGAATACCCCGCCGACGCCTCGGAACTCCGAGTAATCACCAATGTTTCACTCGACACCCCTTTAACAAAAGATGGTACTAGCATCGCGGAGCAACGACCCAAAATCACTCCCCTGACACCGCCTGTCGAATGCGCAAAGACGAGTAACAAAGCTCAGCAGTTCGCGCTAGCTGCCGGGCTCGAACAAAAGAGGAAATCATTCAAGGAGCTCGTCCCTTCTTATCTTCACGACTTCGCCGATATCTTTGCAAAAGATGGCCTGAATCAACTACCGCCAGAACGACCCGGTATAGATCATCGGATAGAAACCAAACCAGGTTTCATACCGAAAACGTCTAAAGTGTACCCACTATCTGAAAAGGAGCGGATAGCAGTTAAAGCATTTATCGATGAAAACGTTCAGAAAGGCTTTATTTCTGAATCGAAATCACCGCAGGCCAGCGGTTTCTTTTTCGTAGGAAAGAAGAGTGGAGACCTTCGCCCCTGTCAAGATTATCGGTATATCAACGAATGGACCGTTAAGAACGCCTACCCGCTCCCACTACCACTCTCTCTGATCGCTCGGTTACATGGTGCCAAGTATTTTACGAAGATGGACGTCCGGTCAGGATACAATAATATCCGCATTCATCCAGAAGATCAATGGAAAGCTGCCTTCACCACGGAATACGGGCTTTTTGAGCCTAATGTCATGTTTTTCGGTCTTTGTAACTCCCCGGCCACCTTCCAGGCATACATGAATAGGACGTTCCAACAAGAAATCAATGAGGGATGGCTCGTTATCTATATGGACGATATCCTCATATTCTCCAACGACCTCACTTCCCATCATGAACGCACTCGACACATTCTTGAACGAATCCGACAGGAGAAGCTTTTCCTTAAACCAGAAAAGTGCACGTTTGATGCAGAAGAAGTGGAGTACCTCGGAATGATCATTCGCCCTGGATGCGTAGCAATGGACAATGCTAAAACAAACGGTATTCGAGACTGGCCTGCCCCTACTTCAGTAAAGGAAGTTCAGTCTTTCCTGGGATTCTGCAACTTCTATCGGAACTTCATTTCCCATTACTCCGACATCGCTCGACCATTAATTGACCTTACCAAGAAAGACGTCAAATTCCTTTGGACCGAACGTTGTGCATCCGCGTTTTTGGCGTTAAAAGAATGCTTTTTGAAGCAACCAGTCCTTCGTAACCCTGATCCCACCAAGCAATTCGCAGTTGCCACCGACGCATCCCTAGTTGCTACCGGTGCAGTCCTACTCCAAACCGATGATATTGGTGTCTACCATCCATGTGGATATCTGTCCCAGACGTTAAATCCCGCTGAACGAAACTATCAGATCTTTGATCGCGAACTCCTCGCAGTCATTCGCGCATTGACCGAATGGCGTCATTATCTAGAAGGAAACCCCCATCCCGTCATCATATTCACCGATCATAAGAACCTCCTTTACTTCAGAACCGCACAAAAGTTAACCCGTCGCCAAGCACGATGGCAGTTAATCCTGTCTTGCTATGATATCGAACTGCATCACGTAGCAGGAACTAAGCTCGTTGCCCCTGATGCCCTATCCCGCCGCCCCGACCATGGTTCAGACTCCGCCAATGACAATACCGACGAAACTCTCCTCCCCGACTCCATGTTTGTTCGACTTCTCGATGTCGAACTCATGACCACTCTCGTGAATCCTGATCCCTCTGATCCCGATCCCATCTTCACCGCCGCATCTGATGCTCTCGATGGTTTATCCCTTCCCCCTATGAAGTCTGCCCTCGCAGACTGGAAGATCGTTGATGATGTCCTCTATTATAAGGATCGCGCCTATGTTCGCCCCGCCGGCCGGCACCTTATTTTGGAATGTTGTCACGACCACCCCTCCGCCGGCCACCCTGGCCGTTTCAAGACTGAAGAATTAGTCAAGCGTGATTTTTGGTGGCCCGCCATGGGTACCTATATCCGCAAATACGTAGAAGGTTGCGCCCTCTGTCAGCAGATGAAGGCCGATACCCATCCGCCTAACCCCCCCCTTGTTCCTATCCCCTCCGTCGCCACTGCACCTTTCACCCAGGTCTCTGTTGATCTGATCACGGACCTTCCCCCCTGTTCTGGCTTTGATTCCGTCATGGTCGTGGTCGACCATGGGCTTATGAAGGGGGTAATTCTCATCCCATGTACAAAGAACATCACTTCCGAAGGGGTCGCCAGCAAATTTTTCAAATATGTCTATCGTCGATTCGGCCTACACGAAAAAGTCATCTCCGATCGCGGCCCGCAATTCATATCCAAGTTCTCTAAGGCCCTCACAAAACTACTAAAATATGATATAGCAGCATCAACCGCCTACCATCCCCAGACCGACGGACAGACAGAACGGCTCAACCAAGAACTAGAGACGTACCTCAGAATCTATTGTCGGAACAACCCCGAAAACTGGGTAGAGCAGCTCCCTATGGCGGAATTCGTCCATAACCATCGCAAACATGATTCTCGCAACGCATCGCCATTCTTTCTTATGATGGGATACGAGCCACGAGCCCTTCCGCATGTTCTCCCCAGCTCCACGGTTCCAGCCGCAGAAGACAGACTCCGCACGCTTCAAAAATCTAGAGAAGAAGCACTCTCTTGCCACAACCTTGCAATGCAGCGTATGGCAGAAAGAACTCACGGGCAGAAGTATCACCCGTGGAAAGTTGGAGATAGGGTTTGGTTATCCGGAAAGAACCTAATCACACAGTTACCATCACGAAAACTTGCCCCCAAACGATACGGCCCATTCCCAATCACCGCCGTTCTGTCCCCCATTACGTTCACTCTTCGATTACCGCCCCAGTGGAAAGTTCACCCCACATTCCACGCTTCCGAACTATCATCCTATCACGAAACAGAGATCCACGGACCGAACTTCCATGACCCACCTCCTGACGTCATCGATAACGAAGAAGAATACGAAATTGATGCGATCTTATCTCACAAAGGAACAGGTAAACGAAGACGCTATCTCTTATCATGGAAAGGATATTCGTCAGCCAGTAACGAGTGGGTCCCAGAAGAAAATCTCGATAATGCCTCCGATATCCTTGACGCCTATAAAAAGGCCCATGGATTATAGATTTCTCCTCAGAATGTCCCACCTTGAACGACTACGTCTCTGCATCCTCCGCATCCAAGAACTTACTGCCACCATGGACGATGCTGCCATTGAAAGAAACGCACACCCCGTAACACTCCAAGAATATCAAAACGCTACTGCCGCCGATTTCGCACGGCAGGCATTCTCTCCCGCACCCTCACCACCAACCTCCGACTCCACCCTAACCCTTACCGACGACTCGACTCTCACCGACTACTTTTCGGTTATTGATCAAGTCGAAACCAGCGCCCTGTTCGAATCAGCTATCACTTCCCAGCAGTACGCCATTGAGATTGACCGTCTCCTCGGAGAAAGAGGGGCAATCTCTAGCGGTCTCATAATCAGAATCATTAGAGACGCTAGCCTTATCGAGCGCACCGCCACCCTTCTTGATGACGAACGTCATCAAACCATTTTTCGCCACCTTCATATACGTATCCATAACACTGCCATTTGCCTTCTCCCAGAAGATACTAGAGACGCTATCAGAGAGGCCATCCACATCGTCACTGAGCGAATTGCTCTTAACCCTGTCGCAAGACCACCTTCACCCCATGTCGTCGTCCCCGTACCTCCGCCAGCTCCTGCTACCCCTGCCGTGGAACATCCGGATAATAATATCCCTCCTATTGCCATACTTGACGTACCAACTTCTCCTTCTCCTGACCCAGTCGTATGCACCACACGACGATTCCCACTTAAACGTAGATCCTCCCGCCTCGCCGCCAAACGAGCCATATCCGTCTCCCCAACTAAACCACCGCTCAAAAGATCGAGATCACCATCCCCCCCAAACCAGTCCTCGTCCGTCACCGTCGTGAAAACATCACCGGTCGACAATGTTGTATGCCGAAACTGCCACACCGCTGGCCATCGGCACAAGAACTGTCCCGCGTACTATTGCAGAGTTTGCAAGATATACGCACCTGGTCATCTGTCGGTCTTCTGTAAAGACTTGAAAGGAGAGGCGGTCATTCCATTGGTATGGACTGATGTCGGTTTCTACGACGCACTTGCGCGTTGGGAGATCGAGCAAGACGCCATTGCTCACGCTGAGCACTTGGCACAACCCCTTACTATCACTGAGGAACAGAATGACCTCCTTGATTCCAACTACGACGCTGACCCCATCTACTGGGCCAACCAGGATATGTGAAGTCGGCGACTTCATCGCTAAACGAGGGGTAATGTTACAGTAAACGGTTGACCCCTATCATTTTCTCTCACATTGTATCATGTCATGACCGCACTTCACCGTGCCATCACTAGACTGTCTTCAGTTTACCATATCCATGTATCACAGCGCGACCGCCTCATGCCATCGCTAGCTGATGTCATTCCTCTTATCTCTGACTCGTCTTGATGACGTCATTTCTCTTATCTCTGACTCGTCTTGATGACGTCATTCCTCTTATCTCTGACTCGTCTTGATGACGTGTACGTACCGGCCCTCAAGTAGCTCTCACCTATATAAGCAGGGTCCTGTACTTAGTTAGACTTCACTTTAATCTACTAGGTTTTACCCAGAACATCCTTCGCTTAAGACCCCCAATCTTAAGTGTCTGATATCGATATTCAAGTCGGAGACACTCTCTCTGATTTGTCTTAAAGAGGCCTTACATTTGTGAGGTTACGATTCGGCTCTAGACGTCACTCTTATCGAGTGTCTATTGTCATGCCTATCCTAGTCGACCTACGGTTCGCCGTAACACAATGATGTGAGTCAGATGGACAGCATGTGCCCAATGATTCAACTTACTTTTCACCCTTCTGTAAGTCACCAATGCCATTAGCTAACTTCATATTGTGGCATGTGCAATCCACAGTGCCCACTCCAGTCGCAGCAAGTCCCCTTGATGACTTTGTATCAGCCATGTTAACTGCATTATGGCTGACACAGTTGCTTTTCTGTCAGATGTAGAATAGTTGTCAGACTTGAAGAAGAATCTCGGGAAATCTAAGAGCGCACCTCTTGAAGGGTTTCACCATTGTTGCTCAGGTACTGCTTATATTCATTCTCTTCAACAAAATGACCCCATCCTTGGCTAAGGCCAGGACCTTTTCGATCGGTCAATACCATCCAGTGCTTGAGTCGAAAGTTGGCATCTATAGCAAGAAAGAGTGCGTACTTCCATCTAGCTATTCATCAGTCAATTCATTGTGTTCTGATAAGGGAACTTGTGCACTGCTGACTCGGAGGTGAAGTTTCCCAGTTAGTAGGGAGGTTTTTTCCAGGATGCGGGCATGCAGGGCAGAGAATGGCCAGATCTCCATCTTGAGTGGAACCTATTCCGGCAGGATGGTGGCCACGACCTGAATGTTTGAGTGCTTTGATGTTTCTCCACTCATGGACTATCCTTAGAAATACTGAGTAGCGATCCTGATCTTTTGTGTAAGTATATCTGAATACATGATGTTAGAAAATGAACCTACATGAATTGGCGTGATTCCTGTATTGTCAGTCCACCATGCCAAGCTATGATAAAACTCATATGCAGACACTTTAGACTTGAAGGAGAGTATGTGAAAGAACTCCAAAACAGCAAATGTTGCCACCATTCTTGGGTCAGTCACCGTGGAAGGGAATAAGCATGCATGGAGTAGTTGTTTGAAGTGTGAAACTTCCTGCTCGCATCCACAAAAATCAAGTCCTGTTGGATGCACACCGTGGACATTGATAATCACGAAGTTGTCACCAAATGCTGGTGTTGGTCTGCGACAAGTGATACCAGGAGGGTGTCCAAGTTGAATGCGCAGGCCCATGGATTTCAATGAAACAGGGTGGAAAAATCTGCCCCTCCATTCCTATTTCTCATTGTTAAAGTTAGAATTGGAGGATCAAAGGACCATGCACCTTGATTCTATGGAGTGGGGAGTTATGGTGCAACCCAATGGTGCATGACCGACATGCAAGCTTGAGAGAGAAACAATCCTGACACCGAAACATGGCATCCTCCACACCACATGCACATGGGGTGTCTGAATCCTGGCCTCTTCCTTCAAGTCGTAGAAACTTGTTCATGTACATCTGATGTTCTGGCAGCCAAGAGGAGATGGGAGTGTCCTATGTAAGATCAACTATGGCATTATCTTCATACTAACACTGAAGACTTACTCCTGCAGTTCTCCTGCATCTCTTTTCAGCCATTGGCATCTCAGGTGCTCCAAGGACATTGTCCACCTCAGATGAAGGGTTGAAGGGCACCATCTTGTTCCAAGGATCATCTTCAGTGGGAACGGTAGGGCCGGCATCAGTGTCCACAGCATTTTCATCCTCCTTCTCAGGTAGGGTGGCAGGAATGTAAGAAGTCCGAAGTGCAAGTTGACTGCTAGGCTGCAAACTGAACATGCGATGCCTGTTGACATGATTTGAGGGCTGTGTGGTGTCTGGCTGTGTGTGCCTGACAAGTTTGGGATGCTTAGATGGACAGCCAGTGTGTCCAGACTGTGACATGGCTAATGCTGGCTCTCTAAGCATCAACACATTAAATTTCACTACTAGGTAGATTAGTGATACATCTAGTGACACATATGCCAACATACATACCATATGTGCTATGGGCGAATCCTAGAAGCTCATTAAACAATATATCGCAATGGATGGTTGAAACTGACCTAAGATATTGCAGCAATACAACTCTGCTTGCACATTCCTCCCATAATCATGGATCAAGGTATGTGGTCCAAGTTGAGTGTTGATATTCAGGCCAGAGCTCATAGCAATTCCTAGATGTCCAAGAGGTGGCAGCCCACACAGGAACAGCACACATGGCTGATGCCTCACTTGACAAAATACCAAGTGATGCCATGTAGCGAAGAAGCTGTGTACTTGATGCTGATGCACAGGGAGTGGTTAGAGAATTGGCCTGAGGAAGATGTTGTGTGGCCTGATTGTCCTATGGAGCAGCATGCGTTGAGTGAAGATGAGAAGGCAGAGCTGTGCTTAGCTGAAAAGGAACACAAAGAAGTAAGTGTCTATACTAAAGTCTCTCAGTGTTATACTGACTGTGTTTGTAGATCTTAAAATGGTGGCTGAGCTGGGCGTGGCTATATCCAAGATGCGCTCATTCTATGTATGGGTGTTTGGGTTGTTGTGGAACTGCCAACGGACAGTGTGTGTACCCTGTGCCAGATTTAACAGATTTTGTTTGTGCTCATCTTAGAGAACAGTGACTTGTGTAGTATATGGTGTAATGCTAATTTTACAACATTACGAAGCAATAAAACTAAAGTCCATATCTACTACATCATGCAATAAGCAGGAAGCCAATGTAAATTCAAGCTAAAGGTCTTTTACTAGTATGTACCAACTGCATTGCAGTTGATACATACTAGTAAAAGACCTATAAAAGTCCAATGAAACACGAACCAAATACAGTGTGAGTGATTCTCAAGCTTTCTCTACCAAATACCAAACTCCCTTACAACACCAACCACAATCACTACATCAGATATGGGTAGACCGAAGCTTTACAAAACCACTGAAGAGCTCCAGGAAGCAAAATGAGTGCACAGACAGGTGTACTATACACGGTGCGAAGTTATTTTATTGGTATTGGAGTTTTTAACAGACTTTCATTTCACACCAGACACAAGAATAAAATCAGTACAAAAATGAAAGCAAGATATTGTGCGCAGTAAGTTCATCTCTTGCATTCTTGCTATCCAATTATCATAATAAATACTAGGAATCCTGTGTCTGATAAGACATTGATGACACTGAAGCAAACCAAGCCAGTGGTGTCCAGATGCTGCTTGTTGGTGATGTGCTCCTTGTACTGATTGACATTTTCTGATGAACACTTGGATGTACAGGAAAAAAAATCGCCTAATAACCTACTTAGGTGGTCCCCCTCACAAAACACTTGATGCACTGTATACCCGCTATCTGGAGACATGCTGCTTGGACGACATTCATGATGTAATGGGCATCGTTCAGGAGATTTTACAGGAGCTCAAAGAGATTGAAGATAGTATGTCAGGAGGGAGAGCCATGGATAGAAGGTATACTAATGCTCAGGATGACTCTAAACAGGCTGCAGATGTACTATTGGCCCTCGAGGATTTATTCTCCTGTGTGATGGTCCTGGACATGGATCTTAGACAGCGATATGCACAAAAAAAATTCCTGTTTCAGAGTCTTTAGGAAATCCCTGCTGTTACATGATCTATTTACTTAGTAGTGCTTCTCAATTGCGATGTAGTGTAGCTGTATGAGTATGACAGTATCTGTGCATGGGACATTGATCTCAATTTTTATGCTACATTTCAATATTCATTTCGCTTACTGCAGCCTAAATGCCCAGTCTTTGTAAATCAACAGATCAATTAACATTAATGTATGTATCTAATCCTCTGCTGACATGACTGAATGTCTAAACTATGAAAATAGATGGCCCTTCGTAAATGGACAACATCCAAGCAGGAGGTGTGGCTTGAACTGTGGTACCAAAAATTCGCCAAAAAGCAGAGTGACAAGAGTAGAAACCACAAAAACTTCTTTGCGGACCTTTACGAAAAATGGTTTGAAGCATTTCCAGAGCCTCAGCCAGATCATATCACCAAATTGGGGCCATTAACACTGGAAGAACACGATAATGCAACTGACATACGGAAAGCTGTAAGTTTTGTTGAAATAGTCAAAGATGTGACACTGAGAATATTTGATAGAAATTACATACACAGTTCAAGAATAACTTCAGCAGGTCGAAGGTGGGGCAACAAGCAAAAGCCAATGCAAACAACATCTTTGACACTGTTGTGCGCAAAATAACTGAATGTGAAAAACCTACATGAATGCTTCAGGAACAGGAAGCATATTCCAAGTTGTACTATGCTGACCGTGTTCAGAAATCCATCCAAGAGATGCTCAAGGTTGCACAAGCAACACAATCACTCACAAATGGTCAGCAAGTAGCACTTGTGAAAAAAGAAACCGTGGCCCTGTATGCTGGTGAGTCTGAGGAGATCAAGGCTAAAGTGAAGGAGTATATCCATGCACAGAAGCAAGAGCACAGTAAGGAAAAAGCTGAGCCTTGGAGTGATGAAGATCAGCAGCGGTGCATGCTGCTCAGGTTCACTGCATAGTATTATCAGCTGACATGCACAAAGAAATCTCACGAAGCTAGCCACCATTGCAAATCAATTTCTGAAAGGCCTCGCTGATGCCACCGGCCTATCCTTCAGCCTTCTCATTGGGGGTCCATCCGTCGAGTTAGGTGGGATGATTGATGTCTGGAGGTATGTTCTGCATTAGAAACTCAAAAACTCGAGGGTCAAACTTACACTGGGCAGCTTCCATGTTGGGACGACGAAGCTGGGCAATAATTTTAGCCAGGCTTACCCTAAATTTGAGAGTGAAGTAGTGGGACCGTTTCATGATTATCTGTATCGTGTGTACCGTAAGTGTCATCTCTGACCAACCATAACACCTTGTACAAAAAAGCTTACCATTGTGATAACAGCAGAGGCTGCAGCACTCAAAGATCGGAAGATGGGAGGAGCTAGCAGCTCCAGTTCATCGTGGGGAGAGAGCTTATACAACAAGAATCAGCCATCATATTGTGCATTGGATATGATGGACGAGTTGTCCAAGCAGGATACATCTTTGACAAACATGTTTGGATCACCAGATTTATCCGACTTTCCTTCTTTGTCACATGACCCAGATGTATCCGAGTTTCTGCCTTTGTCAAATGGCCCTGGGTCTCCCATATTGACCTCTCCAGCATCGCAGCCCTCCAGCTCTGACAACATTCTCTCTGGCAACAATGAATCAAACTGGCTGGCGTCCAATGGCCTCAACGATCTCTTAGAAACATTGGCCCAGAATCTGCCAATGTCAACTGTCGACTGCTTGATGTCACACGGTCCTCCTTTGCTGCCTTCCATTCCTGCGGTTCCAGCTGCAGCTGATACATTCTATTTTCCCCCACTACCCAAACTGTTTGATGGTATGCCCTCAGCTGACTCACTTCCTAATCCCCCTCTGCCACACAAACCATTTGATGGTACACCCTCAGCCGACTCACTTCCTGATGCCCTTTCACCCTCAGCCGACTCAGCCCCTAGTGGATTCACGCGCCCAACTGCTCACCTCCCTGGAAATGCAGAAGAGCCCAACAGCAACAGGCCAGATGCACTCCCTGCATCTTCAATGGCAGAAGATTCTACAGAGGACTCGCATCCCTCACCCATCCCATCTCACACTTCCACTTCAGCAAACATCATCAATGAGCCTCAAGCAGATGAGGCTCAAAATGACAAAGGGAATGACAGCAGCAGACCCCACAGAACAAGGCGCACATGCATCCCATCAACACGCAACATCATTGCCAACTTGATCGGCAACAATTGCAGGGAGAATGTATCCTTGAACCCAGCTTCAAAATGCAGCCACACCACTGATTCATCCACTCATGCAGGTCAGCAAGCAAAGTTAGTCTCTTTTTGTTTTTAAAACCTCTTATGCTCATTATCTCACACAGAAGACCAAGGGTGTGAGCTCAATACTGTCTGCTGCTCAGGTTCTTCCTGTGCTTGCTTTCTTTGGTCCATGTTCTTGCATTCCCTTTCATACTGCTTATTTTCATGTCTTGTGCTGGTTAATGTTGACACAAAACTGTAGTTGAAATTTAGTTCTAATTTTAATTGAATTGTTATATTTGTGAAGATAATGTGTGGTGTGATAGTACTAAGGATTACTAGGACAAAGGCTTCTGTCTGATGCTCCGGAGTGCAAACATTGGACCGGACCCTTGTGAACACAGGTTCGGTTCTAGCTCAGAATGCATTCGAATGCCCAAACCAAAAAGAGCCGCCAGGACAAAATAATGACAAGTTGATCTGGGACACCGTGAAGGTGAGAATGAGCAGAGCACCGGAAGCAAGGCTGTGAGCACCTTAGGAAAGATCATAAGTGTTAGATGAAATGCACCACTGAGCCAGAGATGTGAGGATGTCAAAATTCAGCTGCACAGGGAACACGCAGAACTTGATTATCATTGGGATGAATTATAGTAAATTGAATGTATCATTCAAAGGAGTGACATGGCGCACCTCGCTGTTTTGAACGTTATCAGTGTATGTCCAGCAATGCCTATAAAACAACGAGCTTACCAAAGATACTTGTAGTAGAATTGTTGCTTGCATCTCCCAATAGTGTGGCAAGGATAAATTTTGTACATGGGATTGTGTGGGTTTGGAACGTACTGTAGGGCCCATTCAGTTCATTCTCACAGTTGAAGAATGCATTTTCAAGCACAAGTCCCAGGAGCCAGAGATGTGAGGATGTCGAAATTCAGCTGCATGGGGAACACACAGAACTTGATTATCATGAATGTATCATTTGAAGGAGTGACATGGTGCACCTCGCTTTTTTGAACGTTATCAGTGTATGTCCAGCGATGCCTATAAGACAACAAGCTTACTGAAGATACTTGTAGTAGAATTGTTGCTTGTATCTCCCAATAGTGCAGCAAGGATAAATTTTGTACATGGGATTGTGTGGGTTTGGAATGTACTGTAGGGCCCATTCAGTTCGTTCTCATGGTTGAAGAACACATTTTCAAATGCAAGTCCCAGTGCCATCAGCCATGTTCCTTCTTGGCAGGTACAAGAAGCAAGTCCATCATCAGATCCTATCACCAGCTGCTGATCCCATCAAGGAGAACGAGGGATGGCAGGGTGTAAATGGGGGTGAACTGCCAAATATCCATATGGAGCATTCAACCCCCCATAAAGCGGTGATTTGTAAGCACGGAAAGCCGCCAGTGCAATTCTCGTGTAGGATACATCCTGTTGGACAATGGATGACAACAGAAGAGTATGTATCGGACTTTTAGGACTATAGTCCACTTAAGATATATCTATATAGCATCATGGGCTGCCTCCAGCTGTCTGAAGAGGAAGCTGTCAAGGATTGGCTGGCTCACGAATCTGGCGCCACATGTCCTGTGCACCCTTGCAATTTATGTGCTCAGGTCAACGAGATTAGTGGAAGGATCCCTGGCAAGCATTGGCATCAGCAGCTTCAACTTTGAGCCAACCACCAGAACTTCCTGCAACCTCCAGTTCCTCCCAGCCTGGACACTTGCCACCACATTTCATACATCCGCCTTCTCATACTGGTTTCATCATTCCTGCACCACATCCACCATATTTTTTTGCTCAACCCCCACATCTGAGTCATGAATTTCACAACACACCTATGTATCACTACCTACATTCACACACATTCCCTCAGCAATATTTTACACAGCATTAATTATTTGCATTTACTAGTTCTATATAATTCTCCGTACATACTATAGCTCACAGACTTGCTAGTAGTATCCTAATTAACTGCTGTTAAAGTTCATGAATCACGAATAATGTCTGTCGAGCAGACTGTAAATTTGGCCAGTGTGACTGTCTGTTACTATTCGTGACTTAAGTGTGACTCACGGAATAGTGGACCGTAACGGAATGATAGTAACCGATAGTATGTCTATTCATTTGATCATGCCTCCTGGAATATTCTCCCCCACCCTTTGATCGCTTTCGTATCTACCCCACACTGCTTCAACATATCCCAAGTGACCGTAGTAACAGTATCCAACACCGGAACGCCATATTTCGCCTCCCAAAGCTCGACCTTATGCGCTGCTATCAGATTCGTGCAAAATGTCGAAACAGCCTCTGCACCCCCCTCAACCACTTGCCCCACTAACGTCTCCAATGCATCCTCTCCAATCAGGGCAACATCCGTGTTCTTCACAACGCGCATATGGCGTTCCGTTCCCGAGGTGACTTCCACCCCAATAGCGTTGTAGTTCTTCACAATCCTCTCCTGGACATCATCTAGATAAGGCGTGACCAGTCCAAGCTTCTTGACTTTGAAAATATCCAGAGCCTTGTTCAAAGCCAAGACGGAGGTAGTGGCGGGGATACCCGTAACTTTGGTAATAGCTTCGCAGAGTTTTTCGTCGCCCTCGAATCCCATCCATCCTGCTGCTGTTCCGCTCCAGCCTATCATATCAACTTCGGCATGGGCGAGTAACTCAGCGGCTCGCATGATGACTGAGTGGTCGAACTGGGCAAGACCTTTGGCTGAGAGACTGATCGCTGTGACTGGGAAACGGGAGAAGTGAACGGAAACATTTGGAATGGAGGAAACGATCTGGAAAGTGAGAGGTTCCAACGCGGTATTTGAAGAAGGCGTGAGAATACCGAGACGGATTTGTTTTGACATCATTGGCTAAAACGCTAGGGGTAGGTTCACGGTGTACAGAAATCCAACCTGTTGTGGGGGGGGACGGACGGACGACTGGACGTATGTGAGCTTGCAAAGTTGATATAGGACCTAGTAAGATGACACGTGAGTTTTAATGAATCAAAGATCCTCCCCGACGGGCGACCGAGTCATGACCTGCTGATCCAAGCTGATTTAGGTCTCATCGCCAAGGCCCACAGGACAGATATTCTTGTGTTTCTTGTCGTTTAATCGTTATCTCTTCTCAGGTTGCCTGACTTTCGGGCGATAAAGGATGCTGTATGGAACATGATAGGACGACAAGTTACATAATTCACTTGTTCAGCAATATCGCTCAGTACTCGCCTTCGGTGCCTCCTCTCGAGCGAGGTGGCCCACATATTAGAACGCATAACTGGTGGAATCGGGATGATTTGTAGTGATTCGGGTCCGGGAAGAGCAGTGGTAAGTTCGAGAACGTTGATATGTCGAAGTCATAATGGAACAGCAAGAAAATGCTTCCGTGGTTACGTGGCCAGATAAACGCAAGGTATACTCGTTGTTGAAGGTGACAGCAGTCTAGATAGCACCTTCAACTTCGTGACTGACCAACAACTCTTCACTGGGAGCTAGAGTGTTGTTAAGGTGACGGACCGCAATTGGCGATTATTTTGTGCGTTTTGTGTACTCTGACTAGTGTATATCACGCTAACATTCGCATTTCTCAAAAAACAAACAAACAGAGTTCTGCATCATTTTTATCACAATCCTCCGTTGTTTCAGTGTTTGAATTTCTCGTCGTAAATAACTCATCGCAGACGACAGGACCAGGATAGCGAGCAGCATCGAACGCGATGATTCTTTTTTACCTTTGCTTTGGAGGACATGGCCGCTGACTCTGGAACTCCTTGATTTTGGTGCTGGAGGCAGACAAATGCTTGACAGGAGCACAGACGGCACCTTTTGTGTTGAAACGACTCGTTCGATTGGTTCTGCGTTTTGAACTTGGACGATTTGGCTCACACATCAGCGAATAAAAACTTGCAAGTTGGTAAGGATTCCCAGCCTGGGCCCATTTCCGCAACTGCCGCTGGTATACGTACGTGCCCTCGTGCCTGGTGTATCTCCCAAGCTAATCTCACACTATGTAGAGCTATACTCACTACTTCAAATTTATCCGTCCGAAATATTAACAGCCATTCCTGCACGTGTACAAACCGTAAGACTTGACAAAAAGCCTGACAGCAGTTGCCAGCGACAGCTCATCAATGAATGCGTCCATCGCAGAGACAAATCACAACTTCGTCATAACGTCAATGGGAGGCAGGCTTGAGGATGAGTCGCGGAGGTACTGGGAGATTGCTGAACCCTTTTCAAGTACGAGTAATCGGTATCAAATTATGAGTGCCTCACCATAGGAATTGAATATATTGAACCCTGCAGTGCACGTCTTGTTGGAAGATTAGCACTAATGTCAAAGTGGTTGTAGTAAGCAGTGCACAGAGGGGCCATCCGCACTACCGACTTCGACTGGTGAGCACGTTGAGTTGGATGAGCCCTCATGCCTCTAACTTGGCGCTTATTGCATTGGCGGTCGTTAGTCGAGGTTCTATGGTGCAGAAGCACCTGAACGCTCGAATCTCGAAGGATGGATGGTATGACTGGAACACGCGAGTCGCTCGACTGGCCTGGCTCATGCTAGTATCTAAGCACTCAAGCAGAAGACGAGGCTGCAAACGAATCGAGTACACAGGAACTTCAGTGAACAATCTAGTCGACATAAACACGAGTATACAGAACCAGATATTAAGCTGGAGCGCAAGAATATATCAAGGCCATTTTTACAACAGGCTGAAAGAAGATCGCACATCAACAATACCAGATGACAGCAATACAACGTAGAACTAAGAACTACACACCAACATGAACAAAAACCATCCTCTGCTCCAGCGGCACTTTCGTCTTCACGACGTGCGTAGCACAGTTAAGTGCCCAGGCCGCCTTCGTACAGTCCACGATACCATTCTCCAAATCTCTGAACATATACTTGTAGAAAGCTTCAACGACGTGTTTTGCGACAGAATCGTCGACTTCCCACAGCGTGCCAACGACACTCTTGAACCCCGAAAACTGCAGACCAGCTGCGAGGTGAATCACTTCATCGGGCGTCTCCTCATCCCCTACAGCGGTATGACACGCAGACAAAAACGCGAACTCGGCGTGCGGAATGTCTCTCTCCATGATATCGAGCAGCGTCAGATGTTCGTCTCTCATGACGAAATGCGAATCATAAGGCTGCGTACGGTCCTGCTTGCCATGACAAGCAAGGTGCACCCAAGTGTTCTGCTGCAAAGCTTCGAGTGCATTTGCTCGAGTGGCTGCGTCACCAGAAATAGTGGTGCGGCTGGCCGTCGCAGGGACGAGCTTATGGACAAGCTCGAGCTCGCTGTCAACAGCCAAGAGGGCCTTGCCTTTCCCTGCACCCGGCTGACCTTGCCCGATCGCCACAAAGGATGGAGGCACGCGCTTCTTCATCAACTGCCTAGATCTGACTAGAGCCGAAAGTGTCGGCGTGTAAGAGCAGATGTAGATATCTTCCAGGCATGGCTCCTTAGAGCCATCCGCGTTGGTTAGAAACGGGTGAGCTGCGTGGAGAGGAATGGACGTGAAAGCTGCAGTTGGACACAGCCAGATTCGAGAGCGGCGCTTTAGTTTGAGAACGTGCTCGAGCACGTTGACAATAGGTAGCATGATCACGTCCCATATTATCCGCGAGAGTACTATTAGATCCGTCCTCGACTCCCTTGGGTTCATCCGAGATGCTTGTCGTATTGCCCTAGCGAAACGATCCTTGAGATTGGTCAGATCTACGAGATTAACGGATGGCAAGGGAACATGATGGGGGTCTCCTGATGTCGGAACGATGACGGCGCTGCACGAGTATTGACTCGCAATGAAGATGATGATCGGGCCCTGGCGTGCTGCCGCTTGCAGGTCTTCGTAGGAAGGTGGGAGAAGGAACCGCGAGAACGCGCGAAGATCACGTATCTCAACTACCGCAGCTTCCCACTGCCTTGTAAGTCTCCTATATACTATCGCTGCCCGATCAGCAGCAGCTCTGTCGGTGATGGTTGCAGAACTCTGTGCGGCATTGGATACGCGCTTGCTCAGCTCCAAATATTTGTGCGCCAGTGTCGGATTTACTGACTCGAGATCTTCAACTGGAGTCTTGAATCGAGATGCCAGTGACCACTGCTGGCCACGACCCTGTTCTGCGAGTTCAACTGCCTGTCGTAGATTGTCATGGCGGATGGCCCATGATGCTGCATCTACAGGCAACGATCTGGCACGACTGAAGGCAGCGGCAGCTTCGCGTCGTGAAATTGTCGACGATCGCGTCATCACGTGGCTGTCAAAAGCTTCAAGCATATTTGGTATGCTTCGAAGGCAGAGTCGTGTTGATGACCCTCAGCTTCATCAACCCAGTACAAGGCGGTTTCAATACGACACGGAAAGCCTTGAGTAGGGTGTCCTGATGCCAATCTGAAGTTCTCTATAGCGAGCGACAAATCAACAGGGTCATGTAGAATCCGTAACGAGACAAATAGGCATTCTTTCAGCCGCATGTAGCTGAATACCTGCCCGGGTGCAGTGAAGACAGAGCCGCCAGAGATTCTTGGCAAAGAGTAATGGCCTCTTCAATATCTTCATTCTTTTGTGTGTGTGAAACGAGAGCAGAGCACCGAGCTCAAATTGTGAAGACTTTTGTGGCGCTCTGGATCGTCAAGCCGCTGTAACCGAAGGGATTCGCGATACAGATCAATGGCCTCGTTGAGGTCCTCCCTGACACGCAATTTGTCATATCTGGTTTTGAGCGTGAGGGCAAGGTTGTTAAGCGTGGGTCACGAGTTGGATGCCCAGGTGGGCACAACGTCAGTGCTTCGCGATAGAGGCTGACAGCTCGGGTGATGTCACCAATGTCCCAACGTTTCTTGAAACGGGTGATGAGGGCACCCCCTAGGTTGTCCAATGAGATCACGAGATTTGTGCCCAACAGGGCGCAGGTGCACCGCTTCTTCGTACAAAGAGATGGCCTCATCGAGGTCATTAGGTTTGCCTTGATGATCAAAGCGGAAATCGAGTGAGACGGCCAATTCGTTCAGGTAGTCACTACGGTCAGAATGTCCCTCGGGACACAGAGACACGGCTTCACGACCGAATTGTATGCTCGTGTCAAGATCATCGATGTTGCCGTGTTGGTCAAAGCGTGACCTAAGAGCCTCTGAAAGTTCGTTAAGTGCTCTTGGATGGAGTTGATGGCCTAGAGGACACAGCTCGAGACAACTCTTCGAA